GGAGCGCAGAGGAGAGGCCTGGGCTGGACTGTGGTGACCGGGGAGAGGGAGCGCAGAGGAGAGGCCTGGGCTGGACCGTGGTGACCGGGGAGAGGAAACAAGGGCTGTCGGAGAGGGTGCTAGAGTCATGTTTTGCAGGGTCAGGACTCCAAGCGGCTGGGAGTATCTACGGGGAGTTTAAATTTCTTTTCAAGGAAGCTGTGAAGAGAGGTTTTACCCAGGGGAGTGTGCTGGTCTCATTTACATTTGCTGAAGTGTTTTCTGTCTACTGCATCGAGAGTGAATTGGAGAGGGGCGGGCCCAGCCTGGCAGCAGACGGTGCAGCACTCCAGGGCTAGGTGGAGGGCGGCAGCGAGGCGGAAGGAAGTGCACGCAGTCAAGTCAGATCACACACGTTTATTTTGGCGGTAGACTTGACAGGTGGTGTTGATGGCTTGGATGAGGAAGACAATGAGGAGGCATGGACGTTACCTAGATTTTTGGCTAAGTACCATTTTGACAATATGCATATATTCGCTCTATTATTAAACTTCCTTTTCATTTTGACATGATCCTTCTCAAAACTGTAAACGTTCTAGTATATGTGCTGCCCAAGTGAACGTGAAAACCGCACATTTTTTAGGTATTTTAAAACTTTCCCAATCTAGATTTTTTTGCACTGCAGCCAAATTGTACAGTCGTTTCAGATTTCTTCTTGTTTTCTTGTTTAGTAATGGGAACCGCCTTTGTTGATATTTTGGGTATTTAATTGGGAGCATTTTACCTGTTAATTATGGCTGTTGAGGATTTAAACTCACTTTATTTACCACCAGTCTTTTGAAGTTAGATTGCTGAGTATCCTGCCTGCCCGGGGAGTGTCAGAGCCTGTGAAGGCCTGCAGCTGTTGAGGGGCAGCTTTCCCTCCTCTGCGATTCCTGCTTCCGGCTTCTGTGGGCGAAGAAGGGGTGTGGGATGGGAGGGGCACCTGGAGCTGCTGAGCCAGCTCCACCTGAGGCTCACTGTGTAACTTCATTGTTCTTTTCAGCATGGCCTTCAGGGGTAGGAAGTCAGGCTTATGAGATGTTATCTGCTGTGGCTTAGGACTGGTATACCTCCTCAGTAAGTGGAATTTATTATTACTTTACTGAAATATGGCTTCTTCGTGTGAATGAAGTGAGATCAAGCATAGAAAGCAATCTGAAAAGATTGCTTAAATTGTTGCATGTGGAATCAATTATTTTACTTTTTTCTAAGAAATGAAGAGAAACTGGGGAAAAAAATTCATTAGACAGTAATGCATAGAGATTTTTTACACCTAAATGAGAAGCCAGAAATTCATATAAAACATAAGAACTTCAAAAAGATTTCTTAGGCACAGAGTATTATTAAACACTCATGGATGTTTTTGATTTCCTATTACATTAAAATACTCAAATCAACTTCATATTCAGAACATTTAAAAATAGCTCAATCTTAAAAAGAAGATATAAAGTATTATCAGCTGTGCTTTTTGTGCATAATTAGCATGTTGTGCCTGTGGAGGTGTAATGACTTCTAGCCTAATGATAGTATCATGATTAAAAGTTCAGATGGTAAAACGTAGAGCTCCAGCTGGGCGACACATTTGGTAGCAGTTCAGAGATGACTCCAGCATAGGAGCTGTGCTATGTTAGTTCTTCGTAATCCCCCCTTCACCCATCAGTGAGTCGTGAAGGCTCTGATAAAAGAGCCTTTTAGAAATGCTTCCATTTGTTCCCTTTCTTACAGATTTAATGTGTGCCCAGCATTTCCTTCAGTGCTGGACAGGCTGCTGTGAAGGGACATCACCTTTTCCCTTTTTCCAAGATGGCTCAAGAGTCAGTAGATCTTTCTTGTGATTATCAGTTTTGGATGCAGAAGCTTTCTGTGTGGGATCAGGCTTCCACTTTGGGAACCCAGCAAGACACCTGTGTTCACCTGGCTCAGTTCCAGGAGTTCCTGAGGAAGATGTATGAAGCCTTGAAAGAGATGGTAAGTAGTGGACCAAAATAATGAAATTATTTTCTGACTTCAGGGACTCTGCCAGATTTCACCAAGACAGAATGCCACCCGGAGTCAGGACTTGTGGTGGTAAGTGCCAATGGATTAGGAAGACAGATTACTCAAGAGCTGGTTTCCTAGTCTCCGATTTATTATATTATTATAATTTCTTCTTGAGTAGCTGTATTGTCACATGAGTCTTCCTGACCAAGCAAGTTGTTTTTAAATAATCAAGATTTCATGCTTGTTGTCAAGTAGTAAATGGGATTCTTTTAAAGGCCTTCGTGTCCCTTGAATCTTGGAGAATTTGCTACATGCTTAACCTTTCCTCAACCCTCTTCTCAAGTGGGCTGTCCTAAGAGATGATAAATATTACGATCTCTTCTTATAAATGTAATATTTTTTATAAATATTAAGATTTTGAGTATCTTTACTATTATATAATTTATTGTTTTCAAAATTTACTATATTTTCATTTTGATGTTGTTTTATTATGACAGATATTTTTATGATTTAGCACATGTTTATATATTATGAGCTAGTATTTTGTATTTAATTTCAAAATGAAAAGCAAAATTGTCACTTAACAAAGTGTTCTTGTATTAAGCTTTTCTTCCTGGAATCAAAGAGTAAGTAGGAAATTTGAAGAATAATTTGTATTGATAGTATGAGTTCATATGTTTTTAGAAACTATAAGGAAAGATACAGTCTGTGTGAACAACCAATGCTAATTTAAAAAAATTTTTTTAATGAGACATATGGAACTTGACCTTTCTGTGGTCCCAGAATGTCTGGGACCAGCCTTGATGCTGGGACACGTGTGGGACGTGTTGCCGCAGGAGCGGAAAGTGCCTGTCGTGTCAGCTTGCTTGCATCTTATCCTATCCTAGTTTGCTTTTATTTCTGAGCTTTTATGAAAGGTAACAAGTGGAAAAAGGTCCAGTTGTACAATAGCATGTGTGTGTGTTTTTAAATCTATTTGGTTGATCCTTTTTCTGTTTCAGGGTTTAGATTGTTACAGCCTAAGTATGATGTCATTTGCCATACAGTTATCAAAATAGTAATAAACAGAGATATATACATTTATGCTTTGGCTGCTTTTATTTCTTTTTACAAGTTCCAGATTCTCGTCCCTTTAAACCTTCTTCTTTGAAATAGTCTTACTGGAGCTGAGTTCGTAACCTCTCTTATGTTAGAATGAAAAACCGGGATAAAGATATGGAATTATATATCACCAATAATTTGTTTTCAATTCTTAAGCAGTCTTTGTTATTTTTAAATAAAGAAGCCTTTATTGGCTATTAAGTATGAGTAGAATTAATTTTGCAACACAATTGATTTTACCTATGTCATACATCTTAGTTTGGTGACCTCGTTTAAGGATGAAGTAAGGTGGTTGGTTGCTTTTTATTTTAATTACTTACCTAAAGATCTTCTCTAATCCTTTTTTGCTTACTTTTAAAAATGGTATACTAAACAAGAAGCATTCAAGCTCCCTCAACCTGTAATGTCAGTTCAGTCTTTCTGAGTTGCATAATGCCTTTACTGACCAAAATTTATTTTTCTTTCACAGGATTCTAATACAATTTTTGAAAGATTCCCCACAATTGATCAACTGTTGGCAAAAGCTTGTTGGAATCCTTTTATTTTAGCATACGGTAAGAATCCAAAACGTGTCCTCTCAAAATATAATCTTTGCATTATTTCACAGAGGCTTACATTATGAACCTTTCTCCTATTTTTTTTTTATGGAACAACTTATCAAATGTATTCATTGTTTCATTACAAAGATGGCTTCCTACACTGTTGTCCAGGTATGTGTGTGTAGGTTTGTATGGATACACACACACACACACACGCATGCACGCACCCATGTAGATCTTCAGGAAAATAGAGCTCTTTGTATTAGAGGACAGCAACTCCTAGATGATTTAAATATCCGTTTTTGCCTGTAATCACTTTCATAACTTCATTTTAAATTCAATATAAAATAGCTATACTAATGATACCGAGTTAATTTTGTTTCACGGTTTCATAACTCACACGCTGTTTCCGTGTTGTAAAGTTATTCTTGAGAGTGTGAATCCTGCCGTGACTTTGCCTTTGACGTTGGCCGCTGTGACTTTATTTAAGGGTGCCATTTTGGTTTTATCCAAGGTGGAGATGAATGTGGGGGCACTTTGGGGAGGTATTCCTTCATCGAGCTCCTGTCTGCTGTCCATCTCATTTTCTGTTTCATCTTCCATAGCTATACCTCATGGTGGTAGCCGAGTCCTGTTACTAACAGTGCCTGAAGGCACTTTGTGGCAGGATTCCTTTCACACTCATTCTCCTTTGAAATAGCCTTACTGTGCTGAGGTAGGAGCTGCTGGGAGTGTCCATGGCCTCCAGCGTCTCCCTGTGATCCGCTTACTTCACTGTCTGAGGTAGGAGCTGCTAGGAGTCTCCATGGCCTCCAGCGTCTCCCTGTGAT